GCCAAACCGAATTGACTTAACTGTTTAGTTTACACACACATATATCATTTTCACTCAGTAATATTTGAACTTATACACTACAAGACTGATGGGCCCAGTTCAACAAAGTGATCCGGGGTAGAATAGGTCTTCGGCAACCCATGCTTGCCGTTAAAGGCGACAATGCTTATCGTAAGAGGCGACTAACGGGATCGGGTGGTCAGGCTCGCTGACTTGGTTCATGTATGTCATCGTATCCTAATTGCGTAGATCGATGCTCATGATGTCAATCACTGGATTGTCTGGTCCAGACTCGATTATTTACAGAGTATTGGAATATTGCTGAGTGCGGCGATAAACAACAAACAAACAAACAACAAACTTTCAGTACTGCCTTGAAACAAGCCTAAAGTGTAACAAAATTATTATACAGTAAACTACGGTTATAACGAACTCAAAGGGACTACTATTTTTTGTTTGTTATAACCGTAGTTTGTTATAAGCATATATACAGCATAACTACAGCAAATAGTCGGGACTAAAAAGTAAGTTCGTTATATCCGTCAGTTCGTTATAAGCGTGTTCGTTATAACCGTTGTTCACTGTATGTATATTTGTACAATACTTACCTTATCTTGGAAAAAGTTAAATGGTCACCATACAGACAAGTGGACATCCTTCAGAATCTCATCAGAAAATAACTTCTCACTGACATTTTTGTTGACATGAAGCATTTCTGTGTGTTCTGCTACCAGTAAAATTCTTTGTGTTTCTAAAGTTTGCCATGAGTGTAGTGATTGTTTCATGATGTCAGTAAGTCAAGGTACAGAAAAATGCTTGGTTCTTATTAAAACAATGCTATCAGTGCGCTTGCTGCATTTAGTCAAGGCCCAATAGGCATCACATGGTTGACAAGTTCATACATCAATAAATGACACTGATACCGTGCTAGACTATCGATTCAATACACTCAGAAGAATAATATCATTCCAGATAAATTTAATTAATTTTTTACAGCTCTTTATGCCTGAAATATCTGAAGGCAGAAGAAGAAAAAAATATTTTTTAAGTTAAAATAATGTGGACAAACATTTGTCCTGCATTGTGTCGATTATCATTTCATCTCACTCTCTCACGCACTCAATAACTCACTCACTCACGCACCCTCTCACTCACTCAAACATTCCCTCAAATACTCACGCAATAACTCACTCCATCAAACTCTCTCAAACACTCCATCAAACACTCACTGACTCAATCACTCACTCCCTCAAACATTCCCTCAAACACTCACTCCCTCACATACACACACTCAAATACTCACTCAATAACTCCCTCACTCACTCACTCTCTCACTCACTCTCTCACTCACTCAAAATACTCACTCAAAATACTCACGCAATAACTCACTCCATCAAACTCGCTCAAACACTCCATCAAACACTCAAACACTCACTCTCTCAAACACTCAATCACTCACTCACTCAAATACTCACTCAAATACTCACTCAATAACTCACTCCACCAGACTCTCAAACACTCCATCAAAGATTCTGTCAAAGATTCTGTCAAACACTCAAACACTCAAACACTCAAACACTCACTCTCTCAAACACTGGCTCTGACTATAACACCTTGTACAGGTAGCAGTTCCTGATTCATGGGAACATTCTTGCTCTCACAAATTAGTGGGTGACTCACCCATCTTGTGTTGCGGCAGTATTGGTTATGACACAGCTACCTGTGATGGGGGAGGCAGTGCTGTTAATGTTGCAGGCTGCCGCCATCTTTGGAGCCTCATTTCATCATAAAAAAACATGTCCCCATCTCAACTTCTCCTCACAGATGACAATGACTAATGTGCTGTGTGAAGGTCACTGCTCTTCATACTGTATTTCATGCTCCTGATTGGTGGAGAGATACCGTATTCGACGTAATAAGCGCCCAGGGCGCTCTCAAAATTAGAATGAGGGGGCTCTTATTAGAATATTTTTTTGGTGAATAACAACAGAGTTGAAAGATCGTAAATTTCGTGATTTATGCTGACAGCCTGAAATGTTTATATACGACAGATATATTTTTTCAGAATTTAATTGCCCATAATTAAGGGTGCATATAACAAACGTATTATGCACGAATAAATAAGTCTTGTGTACATTGATCAATCGGAAGGGGTGCCAATTAGGATTGTTCACTAGCCAGTATATTAGCAAATATCGCAGTGGGCGCTTATTACGTCGAATACGGTAGTTTTATTATGGTTTGGATATTCTTGTTAATGGGATTTTGTGTTTGTGTTTTGTCAGGTTTGAATTTATTGCTGTTGTAGAATTTGAATGTTCCATTGTATGGATTGAATATTTAATTTGCAGGGTTTTCCTGTTGTTGGGGTGGATTATTGTTATTGGATTTAAATACTCTTGTTGAGTTTGAACATTCCTGTTGTGTTTGAATGTTCTTGATTGATTTGAACATTCCTGTTGTTGTGTTTGAATGTTCTTGATTGATTTGAACATTCCTGTTGTTGTGTTTGAATGTTCTTGATTGATTTGAACATTCCTGTTGTTGTGTTTGAATGGTCTTGTTGGGTTTGAATATTCCTGTTGTTGGGTTTGAATGTTCTTGATTGATTTGAATATTCCTGTTGTTGTGTTTGAATGGTCTTGTTGGGTTTGAATATTCCTGTTGTTGGGTTTGAATATTCTTATTGGATTTAAATAGCCTTGTTGTTGAATTTAAACAGTCTTGTTGGGTTTGAATATTCTTGATTGATTTGAATATTCCTGTTGTCAGGTTTGAATGTTCCTGTTGTAGGGTATGACTGTTCCTGTGTGATATGAATATTGCTCCTGTGTGGTATGAATATTGCTCCTGTGTGGTATGAATATTGCTCCTGTGGGGTATGAATATTGCTCCTGTGGGGTATGAATATTGCTCCTGTGTGGTATGAATATTGCTCCTGTGGGGTATGAATATTGCTCCTGTGTGATATGAATATTGCTCCTGTGTGGTATGAATATTGCTCCTGTGTGGTATGAATATTGCTCCTGTGGGGTATGAATATTGCTCCTGTGTGGTATGAATATTGCTCCTGTGTGGTATGAATATTGCTCCTGTGGGGTATGAATATTGCTCCTGTGGGGTATGAATATTGCTCCTGTGGGGTATGAATATTGCTCCTGTGTGGTATGAATATTGCTCCTGTGGGGTATGAATATTGCTCCTGTGGGGTATGAATATTGCTCCTGTGTGGTATGAATATTGCTCCTGTGGGGTATGAATATTGCTCCTGTGGGGTATGAATATTGCTCCTTTGTGGTATGAATATTGCTCCTGTGTGGTATGAATATTGCTCCTGTGTGGTATGAATATTCCTCCGTTGGGGTATGAATATTGCTCCTGTGGGGTATGAATATTGCTCCTGTGTGGTATGAATATTGCTCCTGTTGGGTATGAATATTGCTCCTGAGGGGTATGAATATTGCTCCTGTGGGGTATGAATATTGCTCCTGTGGGGTATGAATATTGCTCCTGTGGGGTATGAATATTGCTCCTGTGGGTAATGCATGGTGAATTATCAAAGAGGCACGGTGGTCAATTGATCCCAAGGGCTGCATCTCGCCATGCAGAGTTGTGCCCCTTAGCTGTGCCAGGATCAGTTTATTGTAGGTTTGCCAAGACTTCTCCAAACTATAATGTTTGGTTTGTCAGCACCATGCATCTATGACCTGTATCACTTTAGCCTTTCCTATGTACAAAGTCAACGCATTATTTAAATTCACCCTCAGTCCGTGCTTTTTTAATATGTCCTGTGGAATCCATGTCAGTAGATCCTCATCTGATCACATGGACTTTCTTTAGCTAATCCAATTGGACAGAAATAATGGCAGCCATGTTGTAAATGAGAGTCAACAGATTGTTGATTGAATACAGCATAATTCTGGCTCCAATAGTGTGACTATGAAAATATTGCAGTACATTCTTGTAGGCATTGTCCCTTTGCTTTCTTTACAAGCGGTGACACGGGTGGCCCAGTTGTCTAAGGCACCACAATTTGCTGTCCAGAGTTGCATCCCTTGGGCATGCCAGAAACCTATGATTGTGGGTTTCGAATCCCGGTTCGCCCCGATTAGGTTTCTAGGTTTGTCAGCACCATACCCGTGCTCGTGGGTTAACCTGTATCCCTTCAGGCTTTCCTCCCACATTAAGCTGGTACGCCGTGATATAACTGGAATACCCAACTCACTCACTCACTCACTAAATCTTAACAAGCTGTGTATATTATGATAACGGCAAGAATAATAGTTGTATTTGGAAATATAGATGAGGTAATATAATAATATGTGTGCATTATTCAGGTACTGTTTTCCGTCTACTTTGTGGTTGCTCAAAGCGCATTTCTTACTCCAATTGATCAGTGTGCACCCTATAATCATTCTCAGCTCCCTGGGGAGTATACATGGCATGATACCTGTTGCCATCTCATTCTGCTTGGTACCCATTCACTGCTGGGTGAACAGAGGCTGACACACAGACAGTAACCATGGCATTTTAATGATTTTTTTTCTAAGTTTTGCATAATTCATTCCAAGCTTGTTTGTAAAACAAAAAGAAAATGGCCTGACCTTAGTGTGAATTGTTGGTGGTTTAAGAATAGATGTTGTGACAGACTGACCGATTGTGTGTCAGTAACAAAGGATTACGCCATCTTTAGAATGTGGTTTGGTTTGGTTTGGTTGTTGTTTTACGCCGCACTCAGCAATATTCCAGCTATATGACGGCAGTCTGTAAATAATCGAGTCTGGACCAGACAATCCAGTGATTGATATCATGAGCATAGAGCCACACAATTGGGATCGATGACATAAATCGACCAAGTCGGAGCCTGACAACCCGATCCTGTTAGTCGCCTATTACGACGATCATAGTCAGTCGCCTTTTACAGCAAACATGGGTTGCTGAAGACCTGTTCGACCCCGGATCTTCACGGGTTGTTTAGAATGTGAGTTTGTGTGTTCCAGGTACAAGAAGCTTGCCTATCACATACGGGAGCTGGCCAAGCAGATCCGTGAACTCGATGCCAAGGATCCGTTCCGAGCCGAAGCCATGTCCCAGCTACTGGAAAAACTGTGAGTTGCACGCTTTGTCACAGAGACTTTCCTGTATCCCTCTTATTTCTTACAGACATCTCACGTTTTTACATATCTTGTGTTTTCAGCAGGACGTCATTTTGAAATAGTAGTTTGTTGATGTTTATTGAGCATATAGTTTTTTCGGGGAGGAAATCCTCCATTTCTTTAAAGATTGAAATAAACTTATGTTTAAATTATCTGAAAATGAACCTTAGAGTCTTTTGAAGGAGTTTCTTTTCACACTTCAGAATTAAATAAATTTATAATTTCAAGTCACAAGTCTTCCAAGCAATTTATCAAAATATTTCTTGAAATGTCTGTGTGGTTTTTTCCCCAGTATGTTCATCTGTCAGTTTTATAGACAAAGAGTCTTCTTCATCATCTCAATATGAATATGACATCAAGCTAACCTGGTCTGCCTGGTTTGTTGTGTACAGAGGATGCACAATTTGTGAATATAGATACTAAATTAATCATTCACTGTAACAGAAACGTTTATATTTATCAAGATTGCCATGATTGCCATGGACAATGAGAAGGCAGATGAATAAAGCAACTTTATACCTTTAATGGATCCGCCTTGTTCATATTTAGCATTGAATTTATTTATTGCAAGCCTAGAGATTGTCTATATTGTCTATATTTCGTGATACTTTTGAGTCAATGTATCAAAACTAAAATTTCAAATCAGTGACACCCCCATTTCCCAAATCCTGGATCTACCTTTGCAGTAGTTTTGGTGTGCCGGTATGAATGCAGGTATGAACAAAGGAATGCAAGTATGAACAAAGGAATGCAGGTTTGGACAAAGGAATGCCGGTATGAACGAAAGAATGCAGGTATGAACAAAGGAATGCAGGTATGAACAAAGGAATGCTGTTATGGACAAAGGAATGCCGGTATAAAAGAATTCAGGTATGAAAAAAGGAATGCAAGTATGAACAAAGGAATGCAGTTATGGAGAAAGGAATGCCGGTATGAAAGAATGCAAGTATGAACAAAGAAATGCAGGTATGAACAAAGGAATGCCGGTATTAACGAAAGCATACAGGTATGAACGAAAGGATGCCTGCATGAACGAAAGAATACAGTTATGGACAAAGTAGTGCAGGTATAGGAATGGATAATATAATTCCTGACTCTGTCCACTGTTCTTTATTTTTGGACATTAATATGATGTTAATCATTGGTTCAGTTTGTGAAAGAAGGAATGTATTGTTCATCAGTTAATTCTATGCAGACAACAATTGATTTTATTCTTTTGTAGATGTTAATTGTTTTGGAGATCAATATACAATTTACAATTAGGAAATAGAATCGGGTACTTGTTAAACCTTGTTGATTTTCAGTTGATCATCTAATGAAGAATCAATCTAAACTGTCAACTATTCCTGCTAATATTGTCCCCCGTCCGCGGTTCCAGCTATTGTCATTCTAATCAGCCAGTCAGTCAAAGCTCGCCTCTGTCACCCGACTTTTCACATATTAAGCTTTCCAATAGTATTTGCCATGTTTATTTAGAGTGTGTTTTATTTTGGCGTGTGCCACTTTATTAACAGTGGATTTTGTGTTGAGATTATCGATTTGATAAAGCTACATCACAAGCGTGTTGGGTTACATAAAAGAGCACGAGAAATTAATTTCTCTGCATGATTCTCATTAATTTCATCGGTTTAGACGAGGTAATATTCTGCAGCGGTAGCTGCCTGATTGCACATATTGTTCTGAAAATGGCAACATTTACCAGTGGATGTGGCGTACTGTGTGGATGGCCTGGTTTGATGTTGGGCTGAGGAGCCTGATGTTGTGTTCTGCACAGAAGTACAGCATGTAGTATGTAGTCAATGTAGGGAAACATTTCACTGTAGTGTAGAATCTTGTGATGAACATTACAGTAAGAGTAAAGTTATTGGTGCCAGTTTTGTCTTTGAACATTCAACCTCTACAGTCAGTGAGTGGTGTTGTGTGAAATATCTCCACAGGGATTCGAACAATGAATTGACCTCCATGCGCTCTTACAGCTCCTGGAGCATTGTTTGTTTGTTGTTTAACGCTGCGCTCAGCAGTATTCCAGCTATATGACGGCGGTCTGTAAATAATCGAGTCTGGACCACAAAATCCAGTGACTGACAACATGAGCATCGATCCACACAATTGGGATACAACGACATTCATCAACCAAGTCAGCGAACCTGACCATCTGATCCCGTTACTGGCCTCTTACGGCAAGCATAGTCGCCTTTTATGGCAAGCATGGGTTGCTGAAGACCTATTCTACCCCGGATCTTCACGTGTCAGGTCCTTGAGCAGGGGAACACACTACTCAACAACTCCGTTTGGACTAGTGGTTTGTGTAAATTAACTAGATTTTGGGAGAAATCAACTACATGTAGTCCCTTCAAAACGTCTATTAAGCCATTAAAAGCCAAACTGACACATTTGTACGTTTACATATACATAAATCGTTCACTGTGTGTTGTGAAGGGTTACTTCTATTATCTTGTAGAGGTCTTCAGATTAGCTTTGTGCTAGTTGTCCAATCTGATTTTCAGTATTTATTAAAAAAAGAGGCCTTCTTACTTTTCAGTAGTCTCAGACTAACGACCTAGTGGCCATGTCTTTCCCTGATAAGACATTCAGCCCGATTCTATGCTCATCAACTCCAGAACGTAAAGTGTCATACTTGAGGAATCCATTAAACTCAACATGCTCAAGGGTTCCTTTGTAGAATTATTTTTGTAAAATCTATTTGGGGACTATATGAATGGAGAGGGATCGTCGCAAATGTTCGCAGTCTACCGCTAGATGTCATTTCTTTAATACTGTGGGTGGTCAGGTATTCTGCTCATCTTGCATTTTTGCAGTTTTGTGATCGATTGAACATATTTATGAATAGCCTTTATATTTGCTTTCGTGTTTCAGTTGTGTTTTACCCAGAAATCTCAACATATGTATTACTCCTAATGTATGTACCCCTTTATATCTCATATTCAGGGCCATGTAGTACACTCGCTTTGAAACTCTATACGGGGTTGTTGCATGATAGTGCTTGAAGTAGGTGTCACTTGAGATGAGATGTGGAGTTTTTAGAAATATCTCATTATCCAGGGCATTAATCTGAAGGGTGTAGATGGGTGGTGAGGTCCAGATTAAAGTTTTTAAATCTTGTGTTTGACTGTGAACTTTTGAGACAGTCCCTAAGGGTTTGTCAGCTTCCAGTACTTGTGTTCAGTGAGATGACTTCTAAGAGGTTGCAGGGTGGTAGGGTGGGGTACCTAGTGGTTAAAACATTCGCTCGTCACAACAAAAAGACCCCTGAAAATCCGGGGTAGGGTAGGTCTTCAGCAACCCATTCTTGCAGTAAAAGGGAACTATGCTTGTCGTAAGAGACGACTAACGGGATTGGGTGGTCAGGTTCGCTGACTTGGTTGATGCATGTCATCGTATCCCAAATGCTCAGATTGATGCTCATGATGTCAATCACTGGACTGTCTCGTCGAGACTCAATTATTTACAGATTGCTGTCAAATAGCAGGAATTTTGCTGAGCATGGCGTTAAACAACAAACAAACAACACTGTCTAAGAATGCCGGTTCAGACAGAGTGCCGGACTATTCAGATTTTGGCAATTTCTAATTTGACTTTGTATCTCTGGTGATGGGTTTGTTAATTCAACTGCTCCAGTAGGTTATTACAGATTGACTCACTCACCAATTAGTGACTGTCTTTCCTCATCATCAGTGCTATTTGACTTGCTTGGTAAGCACTATCATAGCAAGCTTCCATGTTCAGATGTTTTATCGACAGCTATTGTCAGTTATCCTCTCGAGCCAGCAAACATCTTGACAGAGGGACAATGACGGTATATAGAGAGAAGACTAAAGGATAGGACCAACACTCAGTGTCTGGAGTGGACAGATGCAGGCGCTCTCGGGGTTTAAATAATGATATTTTAACTAAGTTTATTGAGAGGCCAGAGTACATAGATGCTTAGTTTAGACTGTCCACTGTACTTCAAAAAGCCATTAATTCATAGAGCTCAGGGCTTTGCTTTGAATTACAAGAGTGGGAGTCAAGGGGACTCCGATAATTAATTGTAAGGCTCCTTGCAGGCAATATGAGGGTCCTGTAAGTATTGAAATGGTGTAGTGTAGCGTACATTTTGATAATTAATTTAAAGCTTGGAATGAATCAATGATCATGTGGACAGTGGTCATGATGTGCTGTGGGTGCAATGAATGTTATCATACCCCCATGTCAGAATGGTGAGATCTGTTTATCTTGATAAAATATGAATTTGTCAGTGGGAGAATAAATACCTTATACCATGTATACCCCACCATGAATAAGACAGGATGCACATGGATTTTAGAGAGGCAGAATAAATCCCTGCCTGGTCCAGACTTGATTATTTACAGGTCATCGCCATATAGCTAGAAAATTGCTGAGTGTTCCATTAGCCAAACAAACAAACAAACAAACAAACAAACAAACAAACAAACATATATAATAGTGATGTAGTGTAGGCTTGCTTCCAGTGAGTTCCACTTTCATGTTATGCTACAAACTTTCAATGTCTGTCATACGTTTTTGTTGAGTATGATGATGTTAATAAGCAATATTTGAGCATATATCAGTGCCGTAGTTTCCTTAATTCAGAACATCTGGGATAGAATAGGTCTTCAGCAACCCACGCTTGCCGTAAAAGGCGACTATGCTTGACGTAAGAGGCAACTAACGGGATCGGGTGGTCAGACTCGCTGACTTGGTTGATGCATGTCATTGATCCCAATTGCGTGGATCGATGCTCATGATATTAATCACTGAATTGTCTGGTCCAGATTTGATTATTTACAGACCGCCATCATGTAGCTGGAATATTGCGGAGTGAGGCATTAAACAAGAAACCAACCAACCAACCTTAATTCAGATGGACAGCCCACTCAAATCATTGGACTCTACTCATACAGCTTCACTTATTATCCCAGGGAACCGGA